AAGATTTTCCTTCCACTAAGGAAACCGGATAAACAATTTAATAAAGGCAAAGAAGGCCCAGCCCCGTTTTCAAGAGGGACGGTGCCGGTAGGTGATCTTTCCTTTTCGTAAATTGATATTGAAAATGATTTGTCGAGAACTGCAAATGACGTGACACCAAATTAAAAGTCTCCGGCTTAAAAAGTAGTATTAAAATTTACTCTTTTTTTTTTTTATATGTAACGTGATTAAGTTAGATTGCGTTTGGTAGCCAGAATTTAAGTCCGGATAGGATAACAAATTATCCTATTCGGTGTTTGGTGACATTCTCTGAACCAGATAAATCCAGATACATCCGAATAAAATGCCATATAAGAATTCCGTCTTAAGGGTGGGATAAATTTGGATTGGATATAAAATTTAAAAAATAACTAAAAAAATTAATATTTTACATTTTAAGAGAGTGATAAAGTGACGCATCGGATATCGTTTCGTTGGCACGGCTCGCCCGATGACCACCACCAAAATACCGATCATCATCACTTCTGACCACCGCACGATCGCAGTAGCTTCTGACCACGCCATGCCGGTCATCATTGCTGGCCGAGCACAATAATGGGGGTAACTACAGATATGCGGACCAAGTACTAGTCGGCACACCTTTATTAACATATTGTGAGAATGTTGTTTCCAAAACGTTTGGAGCTGATAAGCTCAGGTAAGATGTTCAAACAGGAGAAATTGTATGAAGCGGCGGGGAGAGAGAGAGAGGAGAAGAAATTTATTGGTCTTCAAGAACTTGACCATTCAAGTCCAATATTAAATACCGTGGACTTAGGCCATGGATCCAAAATTGGATATTATAATGTGCATATCTTTGTTGGGTCCTTTTCTGCCTTCACCATTCTAGTTTTTAAGATTGCTGCTAACTGTGTTTTGTTTGTTCAATAACTCCAGCTTAACTTGTTCGTAGTTCTTTAAGGCACAGGATCAACGCCTTCGTTTCCACAGAGCAAGAATCGTCGGCCAAATACAGGAGGAGGCACGAGATAAAACACAAGGCGGACGACAGACAGAACGGCAGAGTCATCTTGAGCCAACGCATGAAATTTTCGATCGCCATCGAGAGCGGTCGAAGCGATGAAAGAGCGAAACTATGCCGAGCCTTTCTGTGGGGTCGCGTCGAGCTCCCTCGAGACGGTTGGCCTTCCCGTTCCATATCGAACGGAGGAAAACGAAATGCTTCTGGTTCAAGAGACAAAGGTGAAGAACACCAGTCACCGGCCAGAGACGGATCGATCTTTCAGATCTGGTTCAGCTCGTTTGGACAAGATTAGGGAGGTGCTGAAGCGAGGCGAAGCGACCCAGCTTAGAAGCTCGTGGACTCAAATGATGCGAGCACGGCACGGCCAGACATTGCTTCACCTGGCCATCGTGCAGGGTCAAGGCGACATCCTCCAATGCCTTTCGAATTCGTGTCCAACTTGGAGGCTTTATTATGAAAAAGATTGCAAGAATTATTGACCAAGAAAAGAAAAAAATTATTAAAAAATTTGCAAAAATTGTTTACGTCGGCCGATCGTACCATGTAGGACGGCCGGCATCCACGCTCGGCGATTTTTGGCCAAAATCGAGTTGGAATGACTGCATTAGCAAATCGTCAAAATGTTTAGAACTAAACTAGCTAAATTGAAAGGTTTGTGACTAAATTGATATCCTTTAGAATAACTTTAAGAATCTTTTTGGTAATTATCCCGAATTTTATACTTTTAAGGTTTTCTCGAACTTTGTCTCGAACTTCTATATATGTCAACTTATACCCTATTATTAGTACACATACTAACGTATGGAATTAAATGTGGCATTTCTAAGTAAGTCATATATATATATTGTGTAATGACTAGATATCTATCGAAAATCTATCGTTACATTCTCATTTTCCTTCACAAAAACACATGTTTCAATTCGATATAGGCTACGGAGCTGCTCCCACGTAACCTACTGAATCTTGCATGAGCGGTAGAGATACGATTGAGGAGTCGAGCCAATATAGTGTCAAACCGGAGCTCGACTCACATACTAGATGCTCGAAACTCTACACCCGAGCTTTGATTACGTCAAGTCCTGAGTTTCTTTCTTCGTTTGATTTTTAATCAGGGTTTTGTTTTTTCATTGCAAAGTATCAGAAGGATAACTCAAGACTTGCTTCTTTCTACCAAAACCAAGAAGGGCTCATCTCTTACGCGTTACAACATTAGAATATTAAATCACTCCTTCATGAAGCAGCTTAAAATTTTATATCAGTTGATTTTGGTCCCATTATAATCCACAGAGAATGGTCTTAAGTCAAAATTTTAGGATCCTTAGGCCAAATCCCAACCTAAGCGTGGGAATTTCCGCTTGGAATTAGGTGAAAAGGATGTGAATTCAGCTATATTTGATGTAGCCCGAAGCCACGACGACCCTCATATATATGCATTATAAATTCTCAAGATCGGTTCACAAATATATGTTAATTGATTGTTGTGACGACTTAGACATATAGACTTATTAAACAACTACATCTCAAAGAGAGAGCAAGCATAAGCAATCGACTTGTTCCCTCGATCTTCTCAAGAAAGTTAGAGAAAGCCAAGGCGGGGAAGAGAAAATCAAAGAGGAACAAAAAAAGACGGCACTTGCAAGGTTGCTAGGATATTTTAATCTCTCAGATCATCTCTCTCGCAACCTGACAAGATTCTGGGAAAACCTCCCTAACCACAAAACCATCAATTTATCGTCATTAATTGATAAATGCAAATATTAATTTATTTCAGATAATGTTGATACAAGGGATATTTCATCGCCATCAACGGAATATGATCTATGTGTTTACAGGTCGGATTGACCTCGATGAGGGATGGTACAAATTGATTGTGTAATAGAACAATTGCTTGTGTAACTTTCGTGTCGTTATGGTATTATAGTTGTCAAAACGAGAGGATTCATGTGATAGCTTGATTTTTTTGGATAATTCGGCATACCAAAAGTTTGGAGAAACTCCCACCACATATTGTGGTATTCTTCCCAAAATCATATATTTTTTTCTTTTTATCAAACTCCATATTTGACTGTGGGACAACTTTTTTTCCTATACGATGGATCTGCATAACAGAGCAGGATTATCTAAGTAAATCATTTTATTCTTCTTATGCTTTCAAGAAATTATATTGTAATCTACCTGATGCCATTTACTTTTATACTGGTTTTGAATCACGCTTGATTCCGAGGTTCGTGGGTATCACGCTCTAGTTGTCATCCTAAATAATTAGTTTGCTGAACTTTCGCGCGTGTTTTTATCTTTCTTTTAAGACATATCAAGTCGCCTATTTGATTGAATATTACACATCACCCGTTTAACTTAATAAAACTCTAATTAACTTCACGCAGGCTATTGAGGAAACGTAATTCCATTAGATAGTTACGAAAATTAAACAATACCATGGATTATCAATTTTGGAGGATGGTGTTGGTACGTTTTGCAAGCAATATAAAAGGTGAAATGGAATTGAACCTTTTTGCAAACTTCCAACAAAGCAATTCACATCTTATCCCTTCATTAACTAAACTGAACTTATCGAATGATTTCGCGAACTGCCGGTCGTTTCAAATTAAGGATAATGATATGGGTAATCTTTAAATTTCTTTTTCAGTATTTAATGCGGTAGCTAAAAATTCTCCCCGCAACTTTCAAACGCCTTCCTACAGTTGAAAAGTCTAAAACCGTGTGCTGCTGGTGGCCCTTGAGATGTATTACGAAAATTCGAGATTCGTGCACAGCAAATTAAACGGCATTCTCTTTCCATTGACGTTGACATAGACTTGACCAAAACTCGTGTACTTATTGTTCCCTCCGCCTTGTCCCCAGAAAGCTAGGGAAAGCCAAGGCGAGCAAAAAAGAGAGAACGAAGAGGAAAAGGCAGATGGCAATCCCAAGTTTGCCCGGAGATGTGGTCGCTCAAATCATCTCTTTCACCACACCACAAGATGCTTGTACCATGTCGTCCGTCTCTACCAACTTCAGATCGATTGCAGATTCGGATCTAGCGTGGGCTAATTTCTTGCCTCCTGGCTGCGAGGACTTGATCCCTCACGTATCACCCAAGAAGGCTCTCTATCGCCATCTCTGCCATCATCCGGTCCTGATCGATGGCCGGAACGTGGTAAAGCTCGTTTTTCTTTGCAACTTGTTTGCAACTTGCAAGTGATTGTGGGGGTTATATAGTGATTCAAACTAGGGGATTCATGTGATGGTTTTGATCTCCAGTGATTTTGCATATTTGACTGGGGTGTCAACGTTTCTTTTCGCTATAAGGTGAATCTGCATAATAGAGCGGGATTCCAAGAATACCTGGGTTATAATTTAGGCTCCGTTCATTTGGCGGAAAATATTCTCCCCGGAAAATATTTTCCGGGTTTTCCGGTGTTCGGGGGGCGGAAAACGTTTTCCGTGGGAAAATATTTTCCTTCCCCCCTCACAAAATAGCCTAAGTCTACGGAAAATGATTTCCGCTTCTTCTTCTTCTTCACTAAGGTCGCCGGCCGCCGCCGCCGGACGCCGGACGTTGGCCGTCAGTCGCCGGTCGCCGGTCGCCCGTCGCCAGTCACCGGCCGCCGGACGCCGCCGCCGGCCGCCGGTCGCCGGCGAAAAATATTTTCCGAAACTTTTTCATATTGGTCACCGAACACCAGAAAATTATATTCCGGGAAAACATTTTCCAGGAAAATGACTTCCGGGAAAATATTTTCCAAAATGAGAATATTTTCCGCCAAACGAACGGAGCCTTAGTCAACGTATTTGATTTGAGCTATCAAAAAAGGGCATGAAGTGGTCATTGAAGTGTCGTAACTTGTTCGCAGCACAGGACTAAAGTATAGAGGACGGACGTGTACGAAGACGGAATTTCTTTTCGCTTTTTCGCCTCGATTGATGTTGAATTGCTATTAAAATCTCTGATGATCCATGACGTGTTGTCACGTAGAGCTGGTCACTGGATGCGAGGAGTGGAAAGAAATGCTTCATGATTGGATCAAGAGAGCTGGCGATCACATGGGGAAATGACCAGCGTTACTGGAGATGGATTGATGAGCCAAATTCCAGGTCCTACAAGCTTCTCCCTTTTATCTTCTATCATTAATTTATTTTTGTAAGCGAGACGAGCCATCGTTTTGAAGAGTACTGTTTTCCGAACCATCGATTTTCCGCCGGAGAAAAATGGACCCTGTAGGATGGATTTTGGCGCACGTCGTTCGTTGCATTTCGCGATCGGGACACCTCTTTCCGCATGAATACCCTCCATGTTCCGTCAATTTCTTCCTCCTGGCTCTTTCTTTCTACAGGTTTGGTCAAGTGGCTCAGCTCTGGATCGTGTGGTGGTTTCACATCACGGGAAAGATCGAAACGAAGATGCTGCCGCCAAAGACGACCTACGCGGCATACCTCGTCTTCCGGTTCGAAGACTACAAGAGGGGATTTCATCGGCCCGCGGCGTCGCGCGTGTCGGTCGAAAGCGGCGAGCACGGAGAATGGCCGAACGTGATCCTCGACCCCCAGGAAGGGGAGCCTCGGTCGGCCCGCGAGCGCGGAGACGGGTGGCTGGAGATCGAGATGGGGGAGTTCTACAACGAGAATGGAGACGATGGGACTCTGGTGTGTTGTCTCAAGGAGGTTGACAATTACACTGCAAAGAGGGGAATCGTTGTTGAAGGGATCGAACTTAGGCCCAAAGAAATGTAAACTCTGATCAGAGCCTGAGCTTTGATCCGAGCCAATCTATACGAAGGATTCTATAGAATCACACTAAGTTTGTCTTTTTGGTCTTTTACATCATTAATTTAAGTTTTAATTACTTAAAAAAAATCTACGCCTTTGTCTCGAATTCTAGTGTCCATCAAGTTATATCCCCATTGCTAACACACATACTCGCGTATGTAATTAAAGGTCGACCGGGGCAGGGTCGCCAGTGCTGCCTCCGACCTGCTCGGCGCCGCCCGCCACTACGGCGAGCTCGAGCGCAGAATGAGCCTTCGAGCGGTCCGCGAGCGCGACGGCGGATGGTTGCAATTCGAGATGGGGTAGCCCTACGGCGAAAATGGGAGACGATCGCAATGTAAAGAGAGGGTCCATTGTTGAAGGGATCGAACTTGGACCTAACGAAATGTACTATGAAACTTTAGTCACTCATGCGTTTGCTTGTATGGCTTGATCTTTGATCCAAGCAATCAAAGTGAGAAATTTCGAATTTCTAGATCACACTAAATCGTCTTAAAATGTTATGCATGTTTCGTTCAATCCTAAAGAGAACCCTCATTTTAAGGGGAGAGAGAGAGAGAGAGAGAGAGAGAGAGAGAGAGAGAGAGAGAGAGAGAGAGAGAGAGAGAGAGAGAGAGAGAGAGAGAGAGAGAGAGAGAGAGAGAGAGAGGACAACCTTGAAATTAGGCAGAAACCTTGTCTTGAGAAAAACCTAACTATAGTAAAGAGATGCAAGCCACTAAATTGGGAAACAAACTTGGCCTTCTCAACTCTTCCTTTCCATCCATTCAACACAATTCTCTAGCAGCTCAAACAACTTTCATGACCCAGGACTCTGTATTGCTTCTTACCATCCCCATGAAATCCCACAAATGGCTTGCATTCACACTGATGAAGATTGAATGCGCGGAGACGAGGTAAGCATACGATGGCAACCCCGACAAGTCCCACGAAAAGATCATCCTCCCTGTCGTCGCCGGCCGCGGGCCGGCCGCCTCAGGCGGTCAAGTTCTCGAGACGGACGTCCAGCGGCCGCATCGTCAGCCTGTCCCGAGATGACGAGCTGGACATGTCGGGCGAGTTCTCGGGCCAAAACGATTACATCAACTACACGGTGCTCATGCCGCCCACACCGGACAACCAGCCGATGGGGGAGCCGACGGGGCCGAGCACATCCTCGGACTCCAAGAAGGAAACTTCGAGGGGTTACAAATCTACCCGGTTTGGATCCGACACGCAACGGCCGGGAGACGGGGGCGGAGGCGGGAGCGGCGGGGCGAAAATGGACCGCAGGTTGTCCCTGATGAAGTCGAACAACAAGTCTATGCTCCTGAGGAGCCAGACCGGGGACTTCGACCACACGCGATGGCTGTTCGAAAGCAAAGGAAAGTATGGAATTGGGAATGCATATTGGCAAGAGGACCAGGAGGATGCTTATGATGGCGGGATGAGCATGGAGGACTTCATGGACAAACCTTGGAAGCCTCTCACAAGGAAGATCAAGGTTCCACCAGGTGTTCTTAGCCCTTACAGGTTCATATGCTTATTGAAACTCTCTGACATGAACTCAAATTCACGGAACATCATCGGTAGCTCCAGAAATGTCCCTTCGTTAGGCCCAAAGAGATCTCAATAGAAGCATACCATATCAAATGCAGCTCATACATTACCAAAGAAAAAGATGCAGCTCATAAAGCTTGTTCATTGACACATGAACCAGCCAAACAAGCACATTGGACCGAGCAGATTATTGCCGCAAATCAAAATTATGAGCTCAAAAGTTATTAATATGCTTGAGATTGAAGCTGTATGTTTGTAGCACTATAATTACCACCTAAACTGATTCTTTCGAATCTAATCACGCAAAATTTCCTGGCATGCAATATGAATTGTGCCGTTTTATTTTATCGATCGACAGAAAAATCATGATATACACTTTCGGATACTAGTTAAAACCCGTTCCTGATAGCTGACATAGAAAAAGATCCTCACTTTCCGTAGCACGGTACCTCTAATCCCTCCCTTACTGCCTTTTTGGATATTCCTCATTGTCCCGGGCTAGAGTTGATCAAGATCAAAAGCATGCAATATGAATTGTGCCATTTTATGTGTTGGAAACAGGCTACTGATAATGATGCGGATGGTGGCATTAGTTCTGTTTCTTTACTGGAGAGTCGCGAACCCAAACCAAGACGCGATGTGGCTATGGGGCATGTCCATCGTTTGCGAGCTTTGGTTCGCCTTCTCGTGGCTGTTGGACATATTGCCGAAGTTCAATCCCATAAATCGAGCGACCGATCTCGCGGCCCTCGCCGATAAGTTCGAGAGGCCTTCCCCATCCAATCCCCATGGCCGGTCGGACTTGCCCGGGGTCGACGTGATGGTGTCGACGGCCGACCCAGAAAAAGAGCCGCCTCTTGTCACCGCCAACACGATCCTCTCAATTCTTGCAGTTGATTACCCCGTTGAGAAGCTTTCGTGCTACATTTCGGATGATGGCGGGGCGATTCTCACCTTCGAGGCAATGGCTGAAGCCATCAACTTCGCTCAGGTACTTCTCTGCTTAGATAAACTATCTCGGCTGTGCTCAAATCCATTCAATGAAGTAAGACAAAAGTCACGGAACATTGTGTCCTCTATTTTCTCCCAATGCAACAGGTATGGGTGCCCTTTTGCAGAAAGCACAACATTGAGCCTAGAAATCCAGAGAGTTACTTTAGTTTAAAATCCGACCCCACGAAGAACAAGAAGCGGCTCGATTTCGTAAAAGACCGACGTTGGATCAAGAGGGAGTATGATGAATTTAAAGTCAGAATCAATGGCCTTCCCGAGGTGATACGAAGACGCTGCGATTCGTACAATTTGAGGGAAGAAAAAAAAGAGAAGCAGCTTGCTCGGGAAAAGAATGGAGGAGTCCTGCCACAGGAACCGATCAAGGTCACGAAGGCTACGTGGATGGCCGACGGGACTCATTGGCCAGGGACATGGTTCAATTCAAGTGCCGATCACGCTAAAGGAGACCATGCCGGGATATTGCAGGTAACGAGTTGATCATCAAATCAATGAGCAGTTGAATTCGGTACTAAACGCAATTCCCATTTCTCTTATTGTCCGCAATGCAGATAATGAGTAAGGTCCCGGAGAACGACCCCGTGATGGGCCATCCGGATGAGAAGAAATTGGATTTCTCGGGTATCGACATTCGGTTGCCGATGTTTGCATATGTGTCGAGGGAGAAAAGACCCGGGTACGACCACAACAAGAAGGCTGGAGCGATGAATGCCTTGGTTAGAGCATCGGCGATACTATCCAACGGACCGTTCATACTCAATTTGGATTGTGACCACTATATTTACAACTCGAAAGCTATAAAGGAGGGCATGTGTTTCATGATGGACCGTGGTGGAGATCGCATTTGCTACATTCAGTTTCCACAGAGATTTGAAGGGATCGATCCATCAGATCGATATGCCAATCACAACACCGTCTTCTTTGATGGTAATGTCATCTTCTGCGGTCAACAGATTCACTTAATCCTGTGACAAACCAAAATATGAGCATTGCTGCATACCAACATGTGAAGTTTTATCTTTCATTTTGATCGTGACAGGTAATATGCGAGCGCTCGATGGTCTCCAAGGGCCGGTATACGTGGGAACCGGTTGTATGTTCCGGCGATTTGCGCTTTACGGGTTTCAACCGCCAAGAGCAAACGAGTATGACGGTCTCTTTGGACAAATCAAGACTCCGGCACAGAATGTTCTGATGCAAAATGAGGATGAGGACTCGGACACGCAACCCCTGACGTCGCACCCGGACTTAAGTTTACCAAAGAAATTCGGAAATTCATCCATGCTCACTGAATCGATCCCCATTGCGGAGTTTCAGGGGCGACCACTCGCTGATCATATTTCGATAAAGAATGGCAGGCCTCCTGGAGCCCTTCTTCTTCCTCGCCCGCCATTGGATGCGCCTACAGTTGCTGAGGCAGTGGCTGTCATCTCCTGCTGGTAATTGCTTTCAATGTTAATTGGAGTCATTGCAATAATGTGATAAGCTTTCGAATAATTTGAGACGAGGCAATACTTGTATCTAAGTCGAGATACAATTCCAGTTGGCTTTTTAAGGAACTGTTTCTGTCAGCTACTTTTTGTAGTAATCTACCCTTTTTACGCGCCTGCAGGTATGAAGACAAGACTGAATGGGGTGACAGGATAGGATGGATTTACGGGTCGGTGACGGAAGACGTGGTCACTGGATATCGTATGCACAACCGCGGGTGGCGGTCCGTGTATTGCATCACAAAGCGCGATGCGTTTCGCGGCTCCGCACCGATCAACCTCACCGACCGCCTCCACCAGGTGCTCCGATGGGCAACAGGGTCTGTAGAGATCTTCTTCTCTCGAAACAATGCTTTGCTCGGGAGCCGGCGCCTCAAGTTCCTGCAACGCATTGCGTACCTAAACGTCGGCATATACCCGTTCACCTCGGTCTTCCTCTCGGTCTATTGCTTTCTCCCCGCGCTTTCCCTCTTCTCGGGCCAATTCATTGTCCAAAGCCTCAATATCGCATTCCTTACTTACCTGCTCATCATCACAGTCACACTCACCCTCATCTCCCTCCTCGAAGTGAAGTGGTCTGGGGTGGGCCTCGAGGAATGGTGGCGGAATGAGCAGTTCTGGGTCATAGGCGGCACGAGTGCCCACCTTGCCGCCGTCCTCCAGGGCCTGCTCAAGGTAATAGCCGGCATCGAGATCTCCTTCACATTGACATCCAAATCCACCGCCGAGGACGAGGACGACATCTATGCCGATCTCTACGTCATCAAGTGGACAAGCCTCTTCATCATGCCCCTGACCATAATGGTGGTCAACATCGTGGCGGTCGTGATCGGGTTCTCGAGGACGATTTACAGCGAGATCCCGCAGTGGAGCAAGCTCCTAGGAGGGGTGTTCTTCAGCTTCTGGGTGTTGGCTCACATGTATCCATTTGCCAAGGGGCTGATGGGCAGGAGAGGGCGAGTCCCAACCATTGTCTATGTCTGGTCAGGCCTGGTCTCAATCACAGTCTCTCTGCTCTGGATCTCAATCAGCCCTCCTGATGATTCATCTACTACTTCTGGTGGTAATGTACAAATCTAGTCACAGCAGAAAGAAAAGAAGAATCAGAAGCTCGAGTTACTTGTGCATCACCAGAAAAAAAACGGGCATTTCTTGGATGGCGTCCTCTGTGAATCGCTCAAAACAGCTTGACTCGCGACCGGGGCGAATCGGGTATGAGAGGATATGCATGATTTATTGTTTAGCAAAATGTAGGGTTGAACTTTTGTCACTTGGGTGTGTAGATGAAGTAGTCGAAGTACATAACAGTATACGATAAGGCATATCATCTGTTCTATATGGAGATGCTGAACAGAGCCCAGAATTCTGATCACGTTCTCACGTTTTTGGACTTTGAATTTCATTACCTCCGGGACCAAAATTTACAAGGAGGACTTAAACGCAACGTCTTTTGGATCTAAATATGGAATTTCATCTTTATGATCAAAGTCTATGAACTTGTTGCTGTGAATTTTCCATTGGGTTTTCCATGCTAAAAACAGGGAAGGAAGCTGAAAAACGTTCCTGCATTTGTGAACTTCTCTTTTTCTTGGAAGGAGTTGATGGCATTTTAATTACTCAATTTGTGAGCATTCACTGCCTACTACTGCAAACTCCGCCCAGCTAGTTGAATCTGCAAATAAACTGCGGGGAAAATTACACAAACAGTCCCTGAACTTTGGTTTAATATGCAATTTGATCCCTGAACTTTTAATTTGTTCAATGTGGTCTCTGGACTCTTAGTACATGTTCAATTTAGTCCATGGACTATATGAAAATGTTCAATGTAGGTTAAAGTCCAGGGACTATATTGAATAAATTAAAAGTTCAGGGACCAAATTGCACATTGAACCAAAGTTCAGAGACTGTTTGTGTAATTATCCCTAAACTGGGGGAAAATTTATTATTTGCCCCTCGGTTTTTAAGTGCATTGCAAATTTGTCCCCGACATCTCAATTTTGGCGACCCCGATGATTTCAAATCGATTTCAATGTCCCCCCAGTGTTGACTCTAGCCGCATTGTCACCTGAAAACCAATCACGTGATCCGACGGCGAGAACGTGAGGGCAAATTGTCCTCAAGAATTACATTTTGCTCCCAATATTTGTTGCATAATTACAAGTTACCCCCTTTTGTTTCGAAATTTTAGCTATAGGCCGCCGGATCAGTTGAAATTCGTTGTAATCTTCCCTTTGTAGTAATTGCAAATTTAGAAGAAACGGATTACAACTAAAAAAGAAGATGAAAGAAAGCTGAAAAAGGAAATGAAGAGGGGGAAGGTGATCTTGACCCTTTTTTCGGTCTCAAAGTGATTTTCGTCTCACATTCACGTTTGCTAGACCTGTTAAAATGGGTCAATTCCCTCTTCTTTTAGCACTATAATGTGAATAAGATGAAGTGTTTTTCAACTCATGTGTTAAGGTAGATGGTATGACGGGAACTAATTGACTTGCATGAAGTTGGAAGAGTTAAAGGTGAACACTGAACCAGGTTTAATCCGGGAACCGGATCAAATTGAACCGATTTCTTGTGCTGGACTGGACCGACGGACCAAACCAACGGAACCGGTAAGCGATGGGATTTGCATCATCTCGCAGCTGGCACATATTGGAGATGAAGGGAAAACAACAACCGAGTTTTTTAAGGAGAGATTAAGAGGGCAAAAGACAAACTCTCGAAATTTTGGAGTCTCCTTAAGGTGGAGAGTTTGGAGTGAAGCAAAACCAATAAGAGAATTCTGGCGGTGGAGTTTTAAGGAGAGTATGAGAGATTGAAAAACGGGGGCCACAAAGTGAACTTAAGAAGATCTAAATTTTCGTGAGTCCCATTGTTGCCTGAGTAGCATTAAGTGATTGTCCGCTCGATAGGTAAGCAAGGAGATTTGGTTATTGTTGATTCTCAATCCAAGTGACGATACTAAAGAAAAGCACCCGGCAAGCTTTTAGGTTGACCTAGAATCGGCCCAAAACTAATTGGTTCGGTTCAGTTCGATTTCAAAGTCAATAAGGTCGGTTTCCAGTTCCACAAATTAAGAATTGGCTCTGCTCACTCCGAAACCGATCACCCTTAAAATGAGTAACTAAAAGAATTGACAATGCAATTTATAAAGGCTTTAGAAAATGAAATATTGTATGGATGAAAACTACATATCCAAACCAACAACTTAATTGGATTGTGGTGGTTCATGCGGCAACTTAATCTTTGTAAGCAAAGATCAGATCTATTGAGGGGAGAATGTTTAATGGGTTTTCTTTGACAAAGTGTACATGAATTTTCATATGTTATTATCGTCGTACGAAGATGTCATTAACACTTCGGATCGAGATATGTATAATGGAAGTCTTGAAACTTATTTTGAAAGCACAATCAAGTTCAAAAACTTTTAATCCGTGCAGTCGAGTCCCAAAATTTGTCTAACATTTTACTTTTAAAGTATTAATTGTGCATATTAAACAAAATAAAAGTGATAAGTGCATTGGAAGTCATAAAATTTGTCATGAAAGTGCAATTGAGTTTTTAAACTTTCAAAAAGTGCAATCGAATCCTAAAACTTATCATGAAGTGCGATTTAGTTCTAAAGCTTATCAAATTGGTCCAATCAATTCTTTCCGCTGATTGCACTTTTTCAGAGTTCTAAGATTCGATTGCACATCGGCGACTAGTTTTACAACTTGATTGCACATTTTGAAAGTTTTAGGACTAGAATGTACTTTCATGACAAGTTTTAGGACTTGATTACACTCTGCAAAAGTTTTAGGACTCGATTGCACCTTCGCGACAAATTTTATGACTTGATTTTTACTTTTTGATAGTTTTAAGACTTAATTGTACTTTCGTGATAAGTTTTAGGACCATTTGCTGCAATTATCCCTTGAAACAAAATTTAAGGTACTCGAAATCAAGTTGAAAACACACATCGTTTGTAGAAGGAGTACTTCCCGAAAACGACTCGTCGTTTCGGCTTGTATACCGGGTCTCCTCGGCCCCCTCTCTCTCTCTCTCTAGAATACGTCAGCAGGAAGCGCTCTCTCTCCTCGAGATCGACTGAACCAGAAGGGTAGGCGAAACCCTAACAGAGGAAGACCGACACAGCCATCAGTCTCTCCGCCGGGAGACCTCCCCTCGCACCCTCTCCACCATGGCCATCAAGCACTTGCTGGCCCTCGCCGTACGCTCCCGCGGCTCCCGCGCCGCGGCGTCGCTGCTCTCCCGGACCGCCGTCCGATCCGCATCGACCGCGCCCGCCGCCGTCGCCGCCGCCTCTTCGTCGGCGGCCTTGGCCCCCGCCCCGCCGCCCCCCGACGCCATGGTCTACGACCGCCTCGCCGAGTCCGTGAAGTCGAAGCTGAAGCAGCTGGAGAACCCGGATCCGAGGTTCCTCCGGTACGCCTCCCCGCACCCGGCCGTCGCCGACCACACCCGCATCCTCGCCGCCCCCCAGACGCGCGTCACCACGCTCCCCAACGGCCTCCGCGTCGCCACCGAGTCGAACCTCGCCGCCCGCACCGCCACCGTCGGGGTGTGGATCGACGCCGGGTCGCGATTCGAGACCGACGACACCAACGGGACCGCCCATTTCCTCGAGCATATGATTTTCAAGGGTATTGAATCGATTGGCATCTCTTTGTATTCTGTGTTGTTTTTGATGATTGAAATTTGCTCAAATCGGAGCCTTTTTTTTTGTTTGGTTCCTCTTCGGCTTTGTTGTAGGGACTGAGAAGAGAACGGCAAGGAAGTTGGAGGAAGAGATAGAGAACATGGGAGGACACTTGAATGCCTACACTTCTAGGGAGCAGACCACTTACTATGCCAAGGTGATGGATAAGGATGTCAACAATGCCCTCGACATCTTGGCCGATATCCTGCAGAACTCCAAGTTTGATGAGAACCGCATCAACCGTGAGCGGGATGTGATCTTACGTGAGATGGAAGAGGTAATTCTTTTGATATGCCGTTGTCTGTGAATTTGCTTGTTATTTATCGGATCAGTTCATGTTTCTAGTTCAGTATTAGTTGTTGAATCTACCATCATTGTCTTGAGCTACTCTTTTTTTTTTGTAATGCTGGGATTTAGTCTGCCTTGGTGGCATTAGTGTCCATTTAATCTTTTATCAGATATTTCTTCTGTCTAAATATGAAATAAGGGTGTGTTTGTTTTGCAGAGAATGGATGATTCGGAAAACATTTTCCTAAAAATGGTTACTTGTATCACTTACAAAAATGAATGAAAAAACAAAATTTTGCCATCCATGAAAATGTTTGGACGTAAATTGTTTTCAATAATGAAAACATTTTTGATTGACTAATTATTTCAAGCTAAAGCAATGATTTTTTTGGAAAGTGTTTCCCGAATCGTTCATTTTCTGTGAAACAAGCCTAAATAAATGGCAGGACTTGTTTAAACCTGGGTTTAGTTGGGTTAATTGAGAATGTTCAAAAAGGTCGAGTGGAATTCTTAGGGTAGAGGGGCTTCTATTGAGTTTTTAGCAATTTCACATTCTCATTGAAATTTTAGCCGAACTGATATAGGGTGCTTATACTTGGCATTGCGATAGAAGATAGTAATAGTTGGTAAGGAAACTGCAGTATGTTCTCAGCTCTTTTAACTGGCTCTGAACTTGTCATGATGCATTGTCATTTGTTTATTGGTTGCCTCATTATGATGCTTTCTCTGCAGTAAGTCTCTCTTTAAATGCTGTAGGTTGAAGGCCAAACTGAGGAGGTGATATTTGATCATTTGCATGCGACGGCATTCCAGTACTCTCCTCTGGGAAGGACTATTCTTGGACCTGCTCAAAATATAAAGACAATTACGAAGGAACATCTTCAGAACTACATAAAAACACACTACACAGCTCCTAGAATGGTAATATCCGAGATGCAACCTTTCTTTTTGCCTGTTTTTTGCCACCCTGCTTCTCTTTTCACAACCAGAAAAGAGCAAATGACAAGAGAAGTCAATTAGGACATGAGAAATAAGAGTACGATGTGTGCCTGCTGTACTAAATTGACTAGATACTCTTATTGTCTCCAGTAGTTAGTGATAGGTACTAGCTGCCACAAGCATTTCTCTTTAATAACTCCATATTTGTTTTTTTTTTTTTTGTGGCTTAGGTTATCGCTGCATCTGGAGCTGTGAAGCACGAAGATGTTGTTGAGCAAGTAAAGAAATTGTTTACAAAGCTATCTGCAGATCCAACTACTGCTTCCCAGTTAGCTGCAAAAGAGCCTGCAATTTTTACTGGTTCGGAGGTGGGAGATTTGATTGTGTAGCAGCCCTTAACGTGATATGATGCTGTATCATATGTTTCCCATAAATATATTCATTTTTGAAGTAATGCAATAACAGGTTAGGATAATCGACGACGATATTCCTCTGGCACAATTTGCAGTCGCTTTCAGTGGAGCATCTTGGACGGATCCAGATTCCATTGCTCTGATGGTGATGCAGGC